ACCCTCATCCACCTGGCTTCTTTCCCAGGCTGTCTCATCTACCCAGCCATAGGCAGGGACGCCTATCATTCATTAGCATTAAATACTTATCTACAGTAGAAGTGTTTCAGTACCAGAGTCCATTTGTCTCCACGCTGTCAGTTCAGTCTCAGACACTCTTATATCCTGATTTAAACACTGATTGTTTATAGTATTCCCAATGAAATGCTGCTAGAAAAGGACTTACTGAAAATTATACAGCGATTGCTTATATGGCACTTACCATATTAAATTTTAATACAATTTCGCTCACTGCAAAATATGCTTTCAACAAAGTTCATGAACAGTGTGCCATCAACACAGATTTTCTGCAACTTTCTGAAGAAAAGAAAAGAACATGCCCAGGAGTGACACAATCATCTTAATGTATAGTTCGATCATATTAGAAAGTACATAGATTTCAGCAAGGTAAGAAAGTATTGTGTGCAACTTAGCACTACTGTTTGACTACATACTGCCCATTCAGCAGTTCAGGCTAAGTATTTTTATGGCACTTAGCCTGGTAAGTACTTCTTTTGGATACTTCTTTTGGATAAATTACACATTTAATCCAAAAGAAGGAAGTGCTTATTTTTTGCACTATTTGAAGTCGGAAGTATGTAAAGCTACCAGTGATTTGATGAAAGCATGTTTGTGGGAAGAATGTATAGGAATGTATGCTTAAAGATTCATAAATAATTTGTCGCATGCTTTAAAAACTCATCACATGGTTTCTGTTGCTATTTTGTACACTGATACATCTATTTGCGTCTTGTGCCCAAGAAAGATACAATATCACTGGTATGTCAAAAATAAATAAATAAATGAAAAGTTGGTTCATACAAGGGAAAAGTTACCTAACCAGCTTTAAACATGCGTTTTCAACTCTGGTTAAATATTAATTTCCCAAATCCTTTGCACCCTGAAATAAAAAGACTTGAAATATTCTTGCTAAATGATTCTCATTGGGAATATGACTAATATAGCAGAAAAGTTGCAGTCCATGGCAAGTTTAGTATGATCAATTGGTAACCAGTTTTATAGGCTGATAATAGAGAGAGACATTCTTCTTTTAAACTTACACAGTATAGCCTCACTGGATATCAGCAACAAGAAACAAGTCACGTGGGTAATCACAAAATGATTCATCTTAATTACTAGTAAGGACACCAACACATATCACATATCTTCAATCTGTGTTCACCTGGCTCAAACTTAAAAGCAATGGAAGTTCAAAGGCTGTAATCACATCTTATTTCATATGTAAATAATTTGAAAGCCAAATACTTGCTTCTGGAAAGCTGAGAAAAAATGTCATCTGATTAAAAACTATTCTTCTCACATCCTGCATGTTTTTATAGAAGATAAAGCTTCCTTCCTGTTGAGTGGATGCATAGCACTGTATATCAAGACAATGCCAGGAGTGACAGCTTAGCTACTTAACCTGCTGTCAAGTTTTACTTTACTATTTTCAAACTGCTGTAGTTAAAAAAAATTGCTGGAAAAACTGTGTTAGTTTATCTAACAGTGATTAATAATTGTAGTATTTTAGTTCTCCAGTGGTCGTACAGCTTTTTTTTTTTGCCTAGCACTCTGGTTAAAATAAAGCCCTCCTACCTGGTCTTCCAATGCAGCTTTCCATTTTCACTAGTCTTTTATAAGGGTGTATTCTCTCAGGTAATGGATTTAAGTGATTTACACAGTGTTAGACCAAGGGAGCAGAAATTTCTGTGTTTCTAAGAGCAGCCACACTTTTAATCAAATATAGCTCATAAATCACATTTACAACTTTCAGAGCTCAATCAATAGGATACTTTATAGTCTGTAACAAAATTATCTGGAAAGAAGTAGAAGTACAAGAGGGATGTTACTGAAGGGCCACTCACACCTAGGCTCTGCACCCCGTCTGCCTTTAGGGATTAAACTGCCAATTTTAACAATGAGTGACCTGTCCCAGAACTCTAATGCATTTATAAGCAATGCACAGGTGGCTGCTAATGCAGTATTTTAGGAGACTATAATCAATAGTATCAAAGCACAGCAAGTTTTCTGTTCCACTACCCTACTTTGGTGACAAGTGTTAGTACTTTTCTCATCAAACTTTAGTTAAATACTTCTATTCTCGTGGGCAAAAGTTTTTGTGGCTTTGCTAACTCCACACTACTAAATTTCTCTGAAGATGTCTCCAAATGAGTCGCAGAATACCAAGGACTTCTCAGTGCTAATTCAGTTACATGTCTTCTTTGAATTCAATTTGCATATTCAATATAGCAAATTCTTCATCAAGTGTTTAATTTATATACATAATACTGAACAGTCTCCTTCTATAAAATGTAGTAAAAATTACTGTATTACACCATACTTCATCTAGAACTGATGTACATAAGTAAATAACAAATTCTGTAAATTACTGCTAAAACACCTGCATAACTTCAACTATATATTAGGTAACTTTTTCATAATTTCTAGAGTATGCAACAGAAAATAAGAACTTAATCACTTCACATTACATATTTCTTCAAAATGTGTTGCCTATTTATATATTCCATTAATGACAGAAATACTTTCTATCTATTTTGTGTTGAAGATTTATTTGCAATTTTTCCCTGCAAAAGGCACCATGAGAATTCTCATACTCTGTGCCAAGACTGCAAATAACAAAAAGTATTATCTTGACCTCTTAAAGATGTAATGACAGCAGCTTTCACAAAAATATAAGCCTTTGCCTGCAACTCTTGGATCAATGTCCAAATTACACACATTCTGTAGTGATACCAGGAAGTGCTGGCTAAGTGACTTTTAAGTGATAGACTACTCAACAGCAAGTTTTCATTCAGATGAAAATCATAATAGACTGTATTCAGATAGCTTTGCTTTTCATTCCTTTTTGAGACCTCTCCAGAAAGTGTTGGCAAATATTTAGATGATTTCAGGTTTTGAAGACAGAAGACTAGAACACACTGAACACTGAGGATGTGACAGTTGTTACCAGCTCTTAAAGCATACAAAAGGCAAAAATTAGGAAATAGCACTGATACATTCAGACCTTGTATTAAAATGTATTTCCAGTATTACTTTCAGCAACTCAGATGGAAATTGCTTGTAAAGACAGAAGACAAAGAAAATGCTGCCACAGATAGGAAGACTTTTAATATTATGTCTATGAGTGATCATGTTGCCACAGATTCAAGACAGTTCTACAGGCTAAAAATGTTAAAGTAAGGTCCTAGATGTGACTGGGTCTTTAATGGGTTTAAACACTTGTCCTTTTCAATATAAAACTTCAATAATTTTACTTTAAATTAAGGTTGGGAGAAAGTTGTTTGTCAAATAAATGACAAATATGATCTGGTGTTGGGTGGTCAGCTTCCAGACAAACCCTCTTCTTGTAGATGGAGAATATGGCACCTAATAAAATTACCATATTTATCTATTTTCTACCATAAATGGAACCCTCTGATTTGTGACCATTATGAAAATGTTGTCAATAAGACTTTTCTGGTATTCAAAGGACAGCAACTGGGTGGACATACAGAGACCTGCCTGCATGATCTGGTACAGAAAAATACTTACTAATTCAATTTCTATTCAAAGTTGGCAGGCCATGAATCAGGTCTGGTCTACAAGGCATGGTGCTGCAGTAATGCACACAGATGGTAGTAATTTTCCCAAATGTGTGAATTCCCATGCTAATAAAATTACATTATTTATGATTTCTTCACACACTGCTTCAAGACCAATGATTTCTCAGATGAAGTCAGGGCATGACCATCTGTCAGTGATCATAATGATGTATAGATCATGCAGCATCTGGTCAAAATATAATTCAAAAGGTCAATAATGGCTACATAATCTGCAGTATGCTATGATAAAAGTTATCATATCATGAAACAGCCTTATGTGCTAGCAAGGCAAGTAACACTATATTATGGGGCCTGGATTTTTTTTCTGATTATAAGATTCTGAAACCTGTACCAAACCAGATAAACCCTGAGCTTAGAGTTTTCTCCGTAGTAATCATGTCAGAGCAGGGTTGTTTAGCATGTTGAATATATGCTAAGTATCCAACTTTTAAGAGGAAGCTTTCTTTTGTATCAGCCAATCACAAAGGAAAGGTGCACCAAGATAAAGGGTTTTTTAAATTATGTGTGCAACTGATTCCATTAAAACTGAAGGAAATTGACTTTATGCAATTACTAGCCTGACAGGCATATTTTTTATTAATAACAAGTAGAATATGCTGTCAATTTATTATGGATACTCGATGTGCATTGATAGTACTGATATAGAAAAATACACATTTTAAAATTGTTCAGTGCAAATAAGTTTCTTTTGCACATTAATGTTTTGAGTTTTCAAATCCATGAAAGCTTTCTGTTGAGATAAAAAAATATTCTGGGTAAAGAAAAAAAAAACCAAAAAAAGAAATTACTGACAATGTACATATATACCTGTTTCAGAGAAACATTTAAGGTTTGTGTTCTGTGAAAATATATAACAAACAGGATCCTTGAAAACACATAATGTATCTGTGGTTGGTCTTACATACTGGGCAGTGGATTTAAAACTGTTGATCAGAAATACCTGCATCCACAATTTAATGTTTCTATTCTCAAGCATTCTCATGAGAGTTAGTTTGCCCGTGCTGACTGTCCCTTACTGAGTTAAGGACAGCTGTTGCAGCCTGTGAAAACACAGCATCTCTGGGTGATCTGCTGACCCTTGTCATTAATAAAGGTTTTGGAATTCACTTTTGTGTGGGACATGACTGCTGTCAAATACATTTGTTTTAATGCATAAAACCTGACACATTATGCTACCTACTAATTTGTTAATCCTCATGCTCTTTATGCTACTGTATTAGCTTTCAAAAGCAGCTGATTGGAATTATCACATATCTCATGATTAGAAAAGGATGTAAGTAAGGACCTCCTTGAGGCAGCTTTGGGAATCTTGAAAAACAACTAGATATAAAATGAAGAGTGAATTGCTACTTGGCAAGCAGAATCACACTGTTCTGATCCCACAAAAAAACACAGAAGAATGTGCAGCAAGAATTGCAGTGAGGGAACAGAAGTCTAAGGTCATAGAGTGAGTCTGAGGCTAATTCAAGAATATAGGAGAGCTTGATTTTTAGTCTCTTATGCTATTTAATGTTAACAGTTTCTCTATCAAGCACTGAATTTGTTTAGGCTACAGTAGAAAAAAACACATCAGTAACTGGAAAATCAGTTTCTTGCAGAGCATGCATGGAGTTGCTTCTGGTGCCCTGAAGTACTCTCTGTAAGTTACTCCCAGGAACAGACTTTTGCTCTAATACATTACTGTAGGTTTTCTTGGGGGTGGAGGCAGGGATACTCTTCACTTCCTTATCTGATTGTTTCTTTCCTCAAATGCACTCTGTGTTGACTGAGAAACAGTCACATTCTTTGATCTGTGACAGTCTATTTTACTTTTCTTTCAGTATGTTTTGCTTTGTTATTTCTTTCCTTACACTGAACATTGTCTGTGCAAGTACTTCTACTCCTTCCATGAAACAACTGAATAGCTGGCCCCAGGAAACCAATTCTGCAAAGCTACCTGACATCAGCTTTCTCCAGACCCTATCTCTTTCAAGTCAAACTCTCTGGAAACTAATCTCTCTTTATGCTCCACCTTTGTGAAGGTCTTTTTCTTTGCTACGTTTTTATAATCCACTGCGTACAGCCAAAGAAAACCATTTCTGTGGTCTCACTAGATTGATTCATGCCATCCCAGAATATATATATTATTCTTCCTCCCTAAATCCCTTCCTCCTTTCCTTTATTATTCTTGTAGATCTTATGTGACATGTGCAGAGTACCAAGCTAAGATGTGTGGTGGATTCTGTTCTCTGCTGTATCATATATGTGATGGTCCACTGGTCACAAAAGCAATGAAAATAAGCAACAAGCTACTGCAGATTTTGAGAAGGACTTATGGAACCAGCAGAAAACCACAAAATGCAGGCCCTTGGTTTTGTGGTCAAAGATAGGAAAAGCAAAACATAGTAATTACTAATGCCAGATTGGTACACCCATATTTGGATATACTTTCTGAAATAATCTCTAGCTGATAGCAATGTAGTTATTCAGCTATTTATTTGAATTCTCCAAACATTTCCTAATATTGCCTCTTTAGTTGACTAATATATTAATACAAATTCAACCCCACATTTTAATGACTTTTTTTTTCATTTCACCTTCAAGGCATTCTGTCCTTTTTTAAGATCACAATAGCTGCCAATTCAATTGAGCCTCATGCTCTTTATTACATTATATCAGCTTTTGAAAACAGCTGATCTGAATCATCAGACATTCCAGGATTAGAAAAGGAAGTAAATAAGGGCCTTACAACACTACGTACCAAAGTAGTAGTTGGAAAAACATTGGTTTTATTCTGCACATGCTGTTGTCCAAAAACATTAAAGGCAAAAAAACCAATGCTTACAAACATTATGAAGATACTTGAAGATTAACCTTTTCTCAGTTTTTGCTTTGATCGCTATTCTAAGTCGTTATTTAATACTCATGCTGCCATACCTTCATTCTACTAGAACGTTTTCCATTTTCATCCAGAATAAAAAAAAATATTGTAGTAGAGAAAATATAAATGGAAACTACAAAAAAGAAGAAATGCCATGGCTCAGTCTTTATTCAGTGATGACAGCAGGGAAACATTCATGCTCTTTTAAGAAAAAAGTCTAAGTTGGACTTGGTTAGACTAAACATGATTGGTTTTAGACTCTCCTGGGTTCAGCAGTAGCAGTCATTTTTCTCCTTCTTAGTAGCTGGTGCACTGCTGTGTTTTTGACTTTCAGCCTGGGAACAGTGTTGATAACACCGATGTTTTTAGTTGTTGCTCAGTAATAATTACTCTGACCAAGGACTTTGTAAGTCTCATGCTCTTCCAGAGAGGATGGGAAGCTGGGAGGAAGCAGAGACAGGACACCTGACCCAAACTAGCCAAAGAGGTATTCCATACCACAGCACGTCATGCCCAGTATATAAATTGGGGGCAGTTACCCGGAAGGGCTAGATCACTCCTTGGGTCAGGCTGGGTATCGGTCGGTGAGTGGTGAGAGGTTGTATTCTCTTCCCTTGTTATTTCCCTTATCATTATTATTATCGGTGGTAGCAGCAGTGGTTTTGCATTATACCTTAGTTACTGGACTTTTCTTATCTCAACCCATGGGAGTTACATTCTTTTGATTCTCCTTCCCATCCCAGCAGGGATGCGGGGGGGGAGGGGGAAGGAGTTGGGAGGGGGGAGGAAGGAGGGTGGAGTGAGCAGGTGACTGCATGGTTCTGGGTTGCTGGCTGGGCTTAAACCACAACATAGACTTACACACAGATTTCTATCAAGAGATAATTAAATTCAGATTTTGTTCAGTATTATCTCATTTTCAAAGTTATTGTAACCATCATTTATACATAACCACAAAGCACACTCAGAATTTGCAGAGAGCACCTAAAAGCAATGAGAAGACTTAGCTTCTTGTCTCACTCAGTTTATCAAATGTGATGTGGCACACAACATGTCTACTCACCTATCTTCCCACCACAGGGGCCACCACAACCACATTTAGCCATAACTACTGTGAATGCCTTTACCACAGAATGCATCCCCTGCTGACTCATGTGAAATGAGCAGATTACTTCAAACAAACACTGTTCTAGGTGAGCAAGCTGAGTAGCTACTAAATGGCTCAGACTGCCTTACAGAATGACATTGCAGCTGATACACAACACGCTAACATATGGTTTGCTGTATCTGTAAAGTTAACTTTAGATTAAACTGGTTTGGACTGGAAAGCAAAAATTTTCCACATATGATGGACTACACATGTTTTCCACATGACTACAAAAAGAATAATGCAAGTTTGTAACAGCAGGCAGGCAGCATGCAGAAGACATCACTTTCCATCTGAGCAGGGATTTAAAAACCTCAGACCAGGTCTCCCTTCTTTTTGACACTGTCATGCACGTAAGGGTAACAAAGAAATTGTCAAATACAAGGAGATGTTAAAAATGTCCCTATCATTATACCATGGCTCATAAAAAAGGAGATACAGTTTTTTTCTGTTCACACTGCATTGGGGTGGCAGGTAGGCAAGTTACAAGAGACTGTAACAGCTACAAAACTAAGGGAGAATAAACAAACAAAAAAGGTGACAGGAAAAGAGATACAACTATTATGAAGTAATTTCTAGATGCTTTCTATGTATTATTCACATATACACAATAGCACATAACCAGTATATTCCTTGAGAGGAAAAAAAGTTGGAAAAGAAATGACATAGTATCAGTATTGCATGGTCTGTAGCGTAACATTTAGAAAGGAAGGAAGAAGCTGTGTTAGTTAGGTTCAGAAAGAAGCAGCATTTCTGTTATTAGCGAAGACACTGCTTTTAATGACATTTCAGAGTATTTTCATAGATGCCTTTAAGCATTTCTTTCTCTTTTTTTCTTTTTCTCTTTTTTTTTCTTTTTTTTTTGTAGGCAGACATTGATTATATCTTCTCTTAAAGATTCATTAATCAAATGTTAAGGGGGAAGACAGTTTTTGCCAGGAAAGCACCTTTTAAAGCAGAGAATGGAAATAGCCATGTTATGAGCAAAAAAAATCATGGCATAGATAAATGAAGACATTGCCAGAACTTATAAAAATCCTTATGTCATGCACAATGCCTAAGCCTTATTGATTGTCAGGAGTGAGATTCAGCACTACTCCTAGAATTCTACATAGCTTTGGCAAGTTGTTTACGTAAAAAATAAGATACAGCAATATAATAGGATAGTATTAATCTACTGCTTCTAAAACTGTAACAACTCAGCAGGATTTCAGTGTAGCACTACTGGAGCTGGAAGAAAGAATGAAGAATGTCTCTGTTCTAGAAATACAGCAAATATATAATGTATTTTCAGAGATAACATAAAATGCAGACAAATGCAGGGGTTGGTAACGTCCTTGCTGAAATCTCATTTGAAGAACACCAAAGTAGTAAAACACCTCTGCACTGAGGTAAGATGATAATACCACAAGCTGAAAGAGTTTGTGGATATGTCAAGTATAAAATGTTAGTTTCTGCCATCAGGTAGTTCTTAGTTTTTATTAACATTCTCTGTGTCCAAGTTTTTTTTATTCTTATGAGATATTTTTAGCCGGATGAAATGTAATGCTGATGAATACTTTCCTTTATAACTCCTCATTTCATTTTGCTTTTCTAGCTTAGTATTTCAAGAATATTTTCAGCGTTGAGCTGCCCTATCATGCCAGTTCAGAAATCTGTCCTGCCTGCTGCTAAATGACAGAGTAGTAGTTTCTTTATTCTCCTCCCTCTTCCTATCCTTAAGCGTCATCAGCTGTTTAGTATATTTAACAGGGACCAAAGGCCTTATCATCTTGTTAATGTACCTAAATCCCCATGAAACTAACGTTTCGTTGTTTTACAAAAAAAAAAAATAAAAGCAAGGGTGACCTTTACACCAAACACATTTTAAGCCAGTATTTTGGATCACAATATTCTGTTTTGGGCAAATTTACTGTTACTATTTCATCAAAATCTTTTGCCTCCCCAGCCTCTCTGGATATATTTAAGATCCCCAAGCATCACCATCTCGATTGCATGAAAATATTCAGGCTTTAAATCTGGGCTGACATTTTTCCCTTTATTTTCAGCTGCACCCAGGCTGGTCTCTAGAAATGTCAGAAAAAGGGAGACTGATTCTGATCATCTGGAGCTGAATTTTGTCATATCATTTCCTGTCTTGAGTCTGTCTGGCTTCATCTTTAAAGGAAGAGTTTTATGCAGTATGCTGGATTTCAAAAGGCAATGAATGAAATGTCCCTTCACACTCAACTTTTTTTTAGTGCATGTAAATCCTACATTTTCTACACCTTTTCTATGCATTCATTTTTTTTTTACGACTGATTTAAAATGCTTTTATATCAAGATCAGAATTAAAATAACAGGAGTTCCTATAAAATTCCCATATAGGAATCTCCAGGAACAAAGACAGTTGCATACTGATTCTACTATGCTCTTAACATGACATTTAATGAAGTACCCACATATTTAATAGGAATATTCCCATCTTGCTTTTTTTTTTTCTTTTTTTGCTACTAAAATAACAGCTCCACAATTAAAACTATGTACAAATTTTAAATGATAAATCTTCCTTTTTGTATTGCACTGAGCTGAAAAAAATATCCCAGTAACAAAATCCCTGTTATATGAGAAAATGTAAGTGAAGAGGTAAGTGTCTGAGAAGAGACTGAGTTTCTGCTGTTAACTCTAAGAGAAACCTTAAATACTGCATTTTGTCACATCATACATATTTTACTCATATAAATTTGTGGTTAATTTATTCTTCTTATTTTGCTGAAGTTCACCAGTTTCTGAAGCAGGTTGTTCAGATGAATAAAAAAACCCCAGTCACTACAGCTATGATCATTTAAAAAAGATAATGTTAAGAATAATGCCACATGTTGTAAAACCTTTTTGGAAGTCAGATGAATCTACAGTTTTCCACTATGAGTGGTTGAGGCTAACAAGATGCTTGCCTTTATTCTCTTGGTTTTATTTCTCATATTTGTGTATTTTCTCTTGTGTTCAATATGCAAGAGATTTGTATTATTTCTATATAATGCAATGCTGTTTTTTTTTTTCTTTTATAGGGTGGAAGAATTCATTAAGCAAATTCTTTACACAGGACCATATCATTCACATAAGAAAATTATTTTTATTTATGCAATTTCCTGTCTTAAATATGTATCTAAAAGAAAGGAGGAATCTGACAGTAAATTCCTCAACTCTTTGCTCTGTTTGATGATGTATTCAGTATTTTCACTAATTCCACTGAAACACAGGGGGACTCTACATGCTCCCTATTTCTTGAACCTCCCAAATATTCTGCACAGGACGGATCTACAGGCATGAAGAATGTAAATAAATAAGTACAGGAAAGTCATCTTTTGAATCCTTAATTTCCTGGGTAGTTAAATACCTAAAGAGATAAAATGTTTTTGCTATATAATTACTTGCATATTTTATCATCACAAACTGTTATTGCAAAAATATAAAGAAAATACAATTGTAGAAGAAAATTTCTCTTTTTATAGTATAAGCTGTCTTCTTTCCCTCGAAGGAGGTTTGCTCTCTTAAGGAGCC